TTGGTGGCCAGTAGTATTCGTGGTCGTAGTCGTAGTAGGGAGTAGGGGTAGGCGTAGCAGTAGAAGTATAGTAGTAGGAGGAGGAGGAGGAGTAGTAGTAGTAGTCGTCGTAGTAGTAGTCGTCGTAGTGGTAGGGGTAGGGGTAGGGGCACGGGTAGGGGTAGTGGTAGTGGGTAGCGTAGTGGTAGTGGTAGTGGTAGTAGTAGTGGTAGTAGTAGTCGTAGTAGTAGTCGTCGTCGTAGTAAGAGTAGTAAGTGGAAGGAAAGAGCAGTAGTAGCAGCAGCAGCAGCAGTAGTAATATTAGTAGTACCAGTAATCGCAATATTTAATGAGTGGTGGTGGTAGTGGTAGTGGTCGCGGCGGTGCTTGGGTGGTGGGGCGTTGGGGTGGTGGGGTGGATGTGGTGGATGCAGAGGTGGTCATTCTTATCATTTTTCTTGTTGTCGTCAGTAATCTTGCTGATGACGGCGACGATGATGATGATGATGATGATGAGATGATGATGACGATGATGATGATGATGAAGACGACGACGAGGATGTTGTTGTTGATGATGATGGTGATACTGGTAGGTATGATGAAGGTGGTGCTGATCGTCATCCTAGCATTCTGTCTTCGTACTAGCTGAACAGGCATTTAGAGCTTGAACTTGGTGCTAGTTCGGTGCAGGCTTTCCCCGGACTGGATTCATGGAGACAGATTCTGGTACTGCTGGACTGCTTCCCCCGCGTGCATGACAACCTGTCTGTAGGCGGGTTCACGGGACTCCGCTTGATTCGTGCTGGGTCACCACAGGACCAGCTTTTAGACGCTGCACCCCGCAATGATGCTCCTCGACTGGTGGAGGCAAAGGCTTAAAGGAGTACATTACGCTGGACGTGGCCTTGAGTCGCCTGAAGCCTCCCTTGTCGTTGCAGGTGGCCCGACAACTGCCTTTGCTTCCACTAAAGGGGGACGGCTCACTGCAGCCGGCAGCCAGCAAGTTGGTCCTGCCGCCCGTGAAGCCGGAGGTGCAGAGACAGTTCCGGACACTAGGCTCAGGCTGTGGCAGGCTGTGGCTGTGCAGGTGGAAGGCTTTCCGCCGGAGCTGCTGGCGGAGCTGCGCGCCGTGGATCCCAGGCCAAGCCTCAGCTCGCGGTCGGCCCGAGCCTCTCCTCCTCTCCGCTTCCTCTGGCAGGCTGTTGGCTGAAGGCTCTTGCCTGAGCATCTCTTCGCCTCCGGGTTCGCGATGTGCCAGACTCCAAGCTTTTGTTGCCTGAGGCGGAGCGGAAACGGCGGATACTGATGAAGGCCGAGCAGGGCAGCGGTTTTTCTCATGAGATTTTCACCGCCAGACATGTCAGGAACCTTGGATGCCCTAGCCGCTGCTCGAATCAGGACGCGCGGAAGCTATTTGCCATTGCGTTTCCGAGAAGGAAAAGATTCTGTGGTGTTGTATTCAAAGTTGGGGTTCGCACGATGTGCTTATGCTAGGGAAGCCCCAATCTCGAAAACCTCTGTGACTTCTCACACTATCAAGGAATCTACTCTGATCAAAACAGTCACTCAAATCCAGCAGTGAGTTGCCCTAATCAGTTTAAGCTGGCAGGAAGTTGCTACGCAGATTGGGAGTAGTCCCACTGACGCCTCGACTGGTCGAAGCCCCAAGAACTTTCGGTACCAACATGTACCTGCGTTCGCCCCGGAAGTCCTGAATCTGCAGGGTAGCGCGCCATGCTATGCCAGGTCGTGAAGGACATCATCGGGCCTCTCTTTTCGACTTGCCTGGACTCTTGGAATGTTCGCTGTGTTTGCTTGAACTTCAGTTGCACAGATGCCAGCCGAGGATAAGTCTTGGATGCATGGCAGAGCGAGACTCTGTCGGAGAGACTCACGAGCCGAGGTGCCGTTGTTCCATGCCTCGTTTCGGTTGATGAGGCCAGTGCTGTGGCTTCTGCACGAATCAGCACTGGCTGCTTGGGGCCTTGGCCTCCTTGCAAAGGCGCCTCGACCTCCCTCGGCGTTGCTGGCTCTGGGCGGTTTCCTGGTGCCTCGCAGCATTGGATCAGACTTCGCGGCAGCTGGCGGCAGCTGGAGCTTCCGAGGCGCAGAACGCAGCATTGGCGGAAGAACTGGGCCCAAGCGCCATCGGTTGGCCACTGAAAGCGCTGGACAAGGCAGGGCCCCCAACCTGACCCGGCCCAGCTGCCGAAGCTTTGCGGATCTCGCGGGGCGAATTTTAGTTCAAACCAGCAGGTGGCTGTGGGACGGCGCTTCTCCGCCCCGGCACTGCACTCGCCCCGTGCAGCTGCTTTCCTGGAGGTCCCGGCGGTGCTTGGTCGGGATTGCTGTCGATTTGGGGTATGAGGTGTGTGTGTGTGTGTGATGCGCTGATAACAAAGAGATACTTGCAGGGGGATGGAGCAGGCCTGTGGGGCTCCATCTAACAAAGCTCTCCGCAGTCTCCTGAAGATGTCACCAGGGACGCCTGGTGATGTACCTGCAATGCTTGCAACCAATCGCTACATACTCCCGAAGAGGGGTGTCCAAGTGTGTGTGTGTGTGTGCGCATAAACATACGAACCAAAAAAGAGATATTCAAAATACATTGATAAATAATAGTAGGTATCAATACAGGTATCAATACATATATACAAATATTTGTACGTATGTGTACATTCATAACCACAGATAAGTAAATATGGCTAAATATCTAAATGGTAGAATATATAAACAAATGAATAAGAAATAAATAGCTACAACTAACTTGGACGCAATTGACTGACTGACTGACTGACTGACTGACTGACTGACTGACTGACTGACTGACCGCTGGCTGGCTGGCTGGCTGGCTGGCTGGCTGACTGACTGACTGACTGACTGACTAAACACGTGAAACATAGTTAAGTAAGTAGGCAGATAAACTCATAAATATATAAATACATGTATAAATATATATACATAAATAAACAAAAAAATATATATATGTACATAAATGTATATATATATATGTATGTATGTATATATATATATATTTATTATATACACAGCCCCACAGCCTCCTCCTCTGTTGCTACACAGCTAGATATGTCTGTAACTACATATAGTTAATTAACTAGATACCTGCATATATGTATATGATGTACATAAGAGTCTACCTACTTAATTGTACCTACCGGCCTACCTACCTACCTACCTACCTACCTCCCTGCCTGCCTGCCTGCCTGCCTACCTACCTACCTACCTACTTACCTACCTACCTAGCTAGTGTGGTTCAGGTTTCAATGCTGCTCAAACTCAACACACCAAGCCTGCAGGCAGCAAAAGGAGTTCTCGACATTCACCTGCCGGCGGCCGCTTGTCTTGAGAGACCTGCGTGCCATGCCCCCTTTCGAACTTGCAAGAAGCTGGGAAGAGAACAGATCAATCGACGACTGTGCCCAGACTCTGCTGCTTCACATGGGTGATCCGTTCGGTTTGAGGTGAAGCGTAGCGGCGAAGAGAGGACGGCAGGTTGCTAGGCCAGAACGGGACAACGATTGCCCAGGCTCCTGCGAAGCTTGGAACGACGACAGCCTTGGGTGAGGCAATGCACGAGACAGCGATGAACCGTCCGCTTTCAGTGCCTGCGAGGCCTTGGAGACCTTGGGCTTGGCTTTGCCAGGCCAGGCAAAGGCCTTGTGATCCCGAGAAGCTGTGTAAGGGACCTCGATATTGAGGTCCCTTGGTCACCGCAGCAGATGGGGACTTCCGGAGCCTGTGGCCCGGAGACGGTGAGCGCGAAGGAAAGCGGCCGGAAGGATGTGCGCCTCAGGTCCTGAGTTCGAGCAGCTGACTGTGGCCATCACAAAGGAAGCTCGTGAAACAGGCCAGGGCGTGGATGCAGCGAAGGTGTTGATTTGCCCCGGAAAGTGCAGTCTTGCCGATTTTGTCTTCAGGCAGTCTCGAAAGGGCACGTTTGCTGGCCCAGGCCTTGCCATTGGGACAGGGATGAATCCTCCCTGCATGAGGAGAATCGAAACAACACGTCTTGAACAGGCACTCAATGCTGCGTGGCAAAGCAGCTACCTACGCTACTCTCGTCGTGGTGACGGCGTGGCCGCGAACCCGCTGACATCACTCCATGCCACAATATTCGTTCACACCAAGACACCTGCTTCGAAAGGACATGCCTGGATGGATGTATGGATGGATGGATGGATGGAGGGATGGACGGATGGAGGGATGGACGGATGGACGGACGGGGGAAGGGACGGACAGAGGGAGGGAGGGAGGTAGGGAGGGAAGGATGGATGGATGTGTGGCCGTACGGCTGTGTGCAGATATGTGGTTATCACATGCATATGTATGTATGTATGTATGTATGTATGTGCGTATGTGCGTATGCATGTATGAAGATGATTGCTTCCTATAGGTTGATATGTTAATACCCAGGCATGTATGTTACATACATGCACGTGAGCTTGTGTAACGCTGAATTTAGACGTCCACGCGCTTGTTTACTGGGATGTGCAGAAACACTACGCTTCGACGGAAGTGTTTTCGGATATCAAGGAGAGTTATTGTAATGGAATTGGGTCCTCGTGGACCATATTGCAACACAAGATGACTGTGCAATGACATTCGGCAGATGTCTCGTCCTCGCATGCACCGGTCTACACCGTGGACCTCTCCGAGCAACGACAGGAAGCGCTGAACTCTCTCAGCCATTTGGCTGGGCTTGGCACCCGATTGAACCATGCAACTCCAAAGCAAAAAACACAAAAGAAGAGACAGCGAAGCAGACAGGGCTCCGTCCTCGCTCCTTCCCGGCCATGGCCTCGGCGAGGGCCTCGTACCACTTCGTCGGTAGCGATGATGCCGAGGCGGGGCCGCCGGCGGGACGGGGGGCGAAATGCACTGATGGCAGCGACAGGGTCTCAGGGTTTCGGCAGCCAGAGGATATGGTGAAGCTCCCGGGCCTACTGCCACGCCTCCCATTGCGTGATGACACCAGTGATTGTACGATGGCCCTTGTGTTTCCTCGAGAAGTGGATCAAGAGAAGATCGTGGAAGAACCCTATATGATGCTGAAGAGAATCTTCATTGCGACCGGCAACGAGCACAGCACGGACAAGTTTCTGGAGCTGACTCAAAGGCTCAATGACGAGGCTCTCCCTCTGGCAGAGTACCAAACACACGTCAGACGCTTCCTGATAGAAATTGTCGCAGAGTCCGGCCTGATCATGTCAAGCTTTCCCAGCGTGGACGAAGATGAGGATTTCCTGAAGATTTATCTGCCACTCGATGGCCCGGTGATTCAGCACATGGCGGAGCATCTAGAGTACACCATGCCCTACAAAGAGAGTGTGTATCAGCAGGTCAAAGAGCATGGTCCCTATCCCGGTAAGGAGCCCATGCGAGACATCCAGCTTCGACCCTTGGTGGCTTGGGACAAGTTCACGGTGGAGGACGCTGGCCGGTTCGAAGACTTTTGCATGAGGGACTCCATTCGGATCTTAGAGTTCTGGCTGGACCAGTGGGTTAGCCTGGATGAGATGGAAAGACAAGGCCGGGAGCCCTGCTTGCTGGAGTATCCTTCGGTTGATCTTGCTCCAGGTATCATCAAATGCTACTTTCCTTGCCCAGAAGCTGACGCACTGGAAAATTTGCACAGCCACTTTCTGAACCTGTGCAAGTGGGTGCATTTCCAGGGAAAGCAGGCAGACGAGCTTCGTGGCTGGCCTTACAGCATGCCCTTGCCAGATGCATGATTCTGTGTCAATAGGGGGTCGTTGAAATGCCGAGATGCTATTGCTCTGTGAGTGTACAAGGCAAGTACTTCGGCGAAGAGATTGGCTTCTACTTCCGCTTTCTGGGATACGTATGTGCCTAGTCGATGTCAATACAGCAGTGTGCCCTTCCCAATCTGCGAGTCTCCACTCGCAAGTCGCCACCTGATGTTGTTGCATGCTGCTGCCAGCACGTTCTTTCAAAGGTCATGCGATGTCATTTCTTGGCATCGTGGGCTTTGTGATCTACGCGTCCCGCCACCCAGCCTGGCGCCGCTCGTTCTGTTTGGATAAATTGCGAGCTGCGGTGTTCTGGTGCCACATGACATCACATGACCCAGATTCGGACAGCTACATTCCGCAGCGGTCCATGGGATATCTCCGCAGCGGACTGGCTCTCGTCTACTCCGTTTCCTGCCTGCCTAAAAGTGCCAATCCTACAGATGCGGTCCAAGAGCCTCGACCCAGGTGTGGGCTGCTATCTTGTTGATCTTCTGGACCATTACTACTGCAAGGATCTGCGTCCGATGGGGGGTGAACGACATAGATGCTCGCCTTCTCAGTACAAAAAGCCCTGATCTCTCGGTCACAGCAGTGCCGTAAGGAAGACTACGAGCAGATCAATCCCGACTGGAATCCGGTCCCACCAAGTGCATTCCGCCCGCTCATCGTGAATGCTGCCTGGCGCTGGACATCCCTTGTTAGCCTGACGTAGCCTGACTGGTCGGCGAGAGCTAACTAACCTCAGGTCCTGACGGGCGCATACTTGGCAGCCTACGTCGGGGCCATCTCGGCCGTCCTGAACTGGCAGTTTTCACTGCAGGATGATGAGGATCCCGGCCTGGGTGCTTACGCCCCTTTGGTTCTGACCGTGTTAATCAAGTTCGGAAGTCTGTCATGGACCTGGATAGCTCCAGCCATTGTCCGTCTCGAGACCCTCGGCTGCACCTTCTCACAGAGATTGCCTCCGAGTCACGTAGGTCACGTAGCCTGTGCCGCCTGCGCAAGGAACCACCGACGTGAGGATGACAAAGCCGTAAAGCTTTCCGTGATTCTTGCTGTCGTGAAGTCACTCGGCAGGATCCAAGGACGATCGAATGCGACTGAAATTCGTTGCGAGACAAATCACTTGTTGGAAAGCATGGCGGCTGGAGCGTGTCACAGCTCGTCACATCTTCCCACTTCCTTCGATGCAGCCTTCAGCCGCATCGCCTGACACGCTGAGGATTTTTGTGGCCCTGTTCCCGTTCATTTCCTCCTGTTTTCTGGCGACCCTCTATCAGCAGCCTGGCCGACTGGCGGTTCGAGGAATTCTGATGCCGGCGATGATGCGAGGTCCACCTGTGGCGACACCTTCGAGGAGGCCGCAGCTGCAACCTTCCCAAACTACGCCAGCGTCGCTCCGCTCTCAGCAGAGACCATGGAGGCCCCGCTTCTGCAGAGGCTGCTTCTGCCGTCTCTCCTCTGAGTCCAGTCTGCTCTTTTTGGCCAGGCGCTGAAGCCCTACAGCTTCGAGAAGGACGGCCGCTTCTGCTTTCATGGCTGCCACCCCGCAAGTGCCGCGGCGACGGAGGTCACTTGGCCGCTAATTTTCTGCTTTCTGCAAGGCTTGGCCCCTCTCGACTGCTCTCAAGCCGAGGTGTGGGCTGAGACGACCTGTGACAGGAGTGTGTCCGCAAATCTGAAGACGCTCCTTGCGCGCAGGTTTGTGTTTGGCAGCGGTGGTACGGAAGGGCTGATGTTTCGAGTTCCTTTCTAAATGTGGCCCGGTGCCTTGAGTGTTTGCCGTGCATCCCCCGGAAGCCATGACTTCAGATATCCTCGTGCTAGCAAGTGCAGTTGACCTTCGCGTCTCGGCGCTTGTTGTCACATTGTTGAGGTACTTCTTTTTCACCGTTGCTCTAGACTTGGTGTTCCTCATCATTCCGATCGTCATATCTGCCAATGAGATTCGGCAAGAACGCCGCAAGCAAGAGAGAGCCGGCAAGGATTTCGAATACTCACTGCTGCAGTGGGAAGCCAAAAAGTTCAAGTACGAGTGGAACTCCTGGGGTGGGGACAAGATTAACGACAATCTGGACCTTACGATGCTCGGCAGCATGGGGATTTTCCGCAACCACGGAGCCGAGTTCTCTCCCCGACCACGGCGGTTCTCTCCCCGAGGATCTCCTATGCCGTGGTTGTTTGCTTCGGGATCATCTCGCCGATCATGGCCACTGTTTGTCTGCTGTCTCTGTTGAACCTCGGCCGAGACGAGGAGAACTCTTCGTTGTACGCGTAATGGTGTAGCCGCAGTCGAGGCAGTGCTAGACGGCATACTGCATCCAGAAGTGTAGGGCTTGCAGTCCTGCCGTTTGCGCTACCAGTGCTATCAGTGTCTCAGGCCGGGCTCATCATAGGCTAAGGGCCTAAAGACAGCAGAGTTCCTGGAAGCAAAGCTCCAAAAGTTGGGAAGAAGGGGCAGAAGGAGAGCGGAAAAAACATAATCTTGAACACCGAGCCTCAACGGGATCAGGTTGCACAAAAGGCCTGATACCGAATCCGAGCGTGGCAACGAAAGAAGCGAACATGACGGCAGCCTGCACAGCCGAATGAAGCACAAAAGACAGAGACAAGACCAGAACCGAGACTCTGGAGTGAAAAGCTGGAGATGCAAAAGACAAGCGACAGCTGGCAGCATGAAGCGGCCGCCAAGGATCTCTCTCCGCTTGCGCTGCTACAGGACTGCCATGGCCCAAAGACGAGACCTTGCAGCGAAAGTCCCGAAACCAGCCCTTCAGTCCAAAGCTCCCGAAGCGAGCAGATCCCGACAGCAGAAAAAGTAGATTCTGGATACGTCGGAACGTTTGGCTGGCAGGATGATCTATGCTACCCGCAGGTGGGGGAGTCGGCTGCAACGTGTAGGCGACTTTAGGATCTGGGTGCACGCGATCCAGAGGGTCCTGGTTGCCTGTCTAGGCCCCTGCCGCGGGCCAGTACTGGCTTGGGTGTTTGGGAGTACATCTATACTGGGATCCTCGGCCGGATTCATCACTTGGTGGCATGACAGGTGCGCAGGTACACCCATGGAGTGTAAGGCGTGCCTTGGATCCAGATTGTCAGAATGCTATGTGACTGCCCAAGCAAGGGCCATGAGAAATTGTTTTTGCCCCAAGCCGCTACTCGGTTTGGATTGCAACTGCATGCCCTATGGGTGCTTCGTCCAGTGGGGCTCCAAAGTTCAGCCGACATGTATGCGATTTCAGCCGAGCATGGCATCGCGACGAAGTGCAGATTTTGTCAGACAGCTGCTGTCAGCGGGGTCTTTGGGATGCTTTTCCATGCACGGGGGCACTTTCCCACTGCTTATGCCCAGAGGTGAGGACAGAACCAGACAGAGCCTACGGGCGACATGATAAACCATCGCTCTGGTGTTCGAGTAAAAGGTCGGGACGGGAGTCATCTTAATTTCCAAGTGTTGGGTCGCGTTTCCCTGATGCACCTATCGAGTTCGCAGTAGAAGTACCAGTAGAGGTACTAAAGTGAAAGACACGCACCGCGAAGGTCTACATGATGTCTACCTGGCAGTATGGTGAGTAAGTTGCCTCTGAACCCAAACTGAACTGGCAGCTCTGGAACTGCAAAAGTCACGGCATACAACTAAGAAGTACGGCAGCACGAGGATCAACATGGTGGCCGTGGTGATCAACGTGGGGCTGGCGGCCGTGTTTTTCTATCCCATGCGTGTGAAGCAAGCCAGTGGCAGGGCTACAGTCAGTCAGATCTGCCTTTGGTGATTCGCAGCAGTCGTAGTTGCAGCCGCGGCGGAAGGTGAAAAGTTCATGATCTTCGTCATCGGCGAACACGTGGTGTTGCTTGTCCAGTTTATCTTCAGACTCATTGTGCCTGCCAAGCCGGCAGATATTTCTCACATCGTGTCTCGTCCGCAATTACCTCCACGATGCTCTGCCGATCTCAGGGGACATGTTCTTCTAACAAACTGTCCAAGGAGGCCTACAACATGCATGTCAAGAAGGTGCTGCGGACCGAGCGGTCTTGCATGAAGCGTTTCGAAGGCTTAAGAACACCCGCAAACATCAATTTGGATGTCATTCCGGACGGCGTACAAAGTGATGCCGATTCCAGTGACACTGCCAATGAGGGCTGCTGTTAAGATGAGGTTGCAATGTTCGCCTCTGGCCCGATACATCCCGATGCAAGGCTTGCTTGAGTTCCGGATTTGTGAAGGCTGCGGCTGCGGCACGTGGCCCTCGAATCGCGGACGATCAACCGAGCAAATGCACCCCCGTCTCGCTTCAAAATGGAAAAGCGTGCCCACTCTTGGAACTCAATCGCTTCCCATTTTCTCCTGTCTTTGGTCGTGACGCGAAGATCACAAGTTGTGCAGCAGTGCATTGCGCTTGAGAGTCGGACATTGGTGGTGCCTCGCCGACCCGGCACAAGCAGTGAGTCGACCCAGCTGTGCTTCGGGTTGGCGACAAGAAGCGATCAGTCGAGGACGGCCTCGCTCTCTCTCTCTCTCTCCCTCCCTCCCTCCCTCTCCCTCCCCGAAACCTGAGCATGACCTGCATGCTGCATCTTGTATAATCATTAGGGAATTGAAGTTAGAGTGATCAGCCGCGCACATGCGCCGCGCACATCGCACAGACGAGAGAGCTGCTCAGGTCTCTGGCTTCCTGCTTGCGCTGCAGTCCTCCCCTTGGCTTCCTCCCGACGACTCGGCGGACGCGGAGGACGCGGCCCAGGCGGCCCAGGCAGCCCAGGCCTCAGAGGCAGAGCAGCAAAGAAAGAAGCAGCCAACACGAAGTAAGGGGGGACTTTGCTGCCCGGCCGAGCTGGTCGCCGGCACTGCGGCCGTCCGTGCAGCGCTGCCGGCGGCTGGGCAGAACAGAAAGCGTCTTCCCCCTGTGTGTGTCCAGCTCACAAAAGAGTGTTTGGGGTGTATGGGCTACGGCTTCGCTCTCTCTCAGAGAGAGTTCCACAGTTTTTGAGGATGCCGGGCTGCTGAAAGGCCGCCTCTGCTCTGCCGTCTCGGGCCGCGGCCCCTCCTGCGCTTTTGAACACGGGCTCTCCGTGAACGGAGAGAGCTCTGAGGCGCCTTCGCAGAGGCTCTGGGCGTGGTCACCGAGCCCTCCGTGGAGCTGGTGATGAAGGCTTCTTTGAAGTCTGTTCGAGAGAGCCCTGAATTCGCCTCAGGTTCAGCGCTCACGTCCTGCCAGGTGCTACGTGGCTCCGTGACACACAGCCCGGTCGGGCCTGACAGCGCAACCGCAATCTACGGGTACCTCGAGCGGGAAGGCCGCATGGCTGTTTGTAGGGCAGCAGCTAAACAAGCTCTTTCACTGCCTCTATGCGTGCACAGCAAGGTGCCGACTTGGCAGAACTGCGAAGGATGCCGCCACCACCTCTGCTGAAAGATGCACTTGACGGACCCATGAGAAAGGGGTTTCAACATGCAAACTCCTGACTGGAGCAAGGTCCGTGGTAGTCGCGGCTGGAGAAGCAGCACGCGTCCCTGCTGATGTAGTGTGGGAGGAGCGCGGGATGAGGAAGCGATTGCTGCGTGCGTGTCGGCGGATCCCTTCCAAGTGTGGTCTTGCCTCCTTGCGCCGACATGCAGTTGACGGAAGTGTGCAGTGAGTTTTCTGTGCGCTGTTACGTGCAGGATGCCAACTGCGACCTTCCGGCTTTGCAGCAACTGTACAGTGCCGCTGCCTCAGAAAAGAAGGGAGTAAACTCGGACTCTGTGCAGCAAGGCCTGAGCGAGGCCATAGTTTGTTCTAGCGGCGGCTGAAGGTACGGTGGCGTCGTTTTTTCGTCATTGGCCTGGGAGTGCCCGAGCGTCCCACCGCAGAGCAGGCCATGGCTCTGCACTTTCGGTTGCTTTTGACTCATCCGATTCAGAAAGCTTCCTCGTGACCTCCTCATGAGAGTGCCAAAGCATCGGCCGACCTTAGAGGTCCTCAGGCGCCTGGACCAGCTCAGTGCCAGCACTGCGCCGAGCGCTGCCCTCTGGCCGTTCCTTGGCCCTTGGAAGGGTCGACACGCCCTTGGGACTTTGGCGTCAGGCTTCCGTCTCGCTTCATCTAGCTAGAAGTCCCAAACCTGCAGCCCGAATTCTCAAGACCGCGAGCTTCAAAGAGTAGACCGAGGCTTCTCCTCCGTGTGGCAAAGGACAGCTTTCAAGGGGGATTGGGGGATTTTCCTGGTCGCAGGTTCACGTTATTCATCGAAAATTCAAGGTCGCGGGTATTGGTTGGCGCATTGACTACGCAACTACCTCAGCAAGTCTGTAAGACAGAGCCCAATGTGTACTTTTCATGGGAGGAGCTCTCAGATCCCTCGTCAGCTGACGCAGAAGGCTCCAGTCTTCCCCGCCATGACCTGGTTAAACGTCGATTTTGTTGGCTTGCAAGATTGCGAGGGCAAGCAAGGCCCCTCTCTCTGCCTACATCCGACATGATTAATGCCTGGCAGCTTGGGCCGCTTTGCCAGCGGCACTCGCGGCCCGTCGCTGTGTGCCGCTGCAGCTGGGCGGCTTGGGCGCTCCGAAAGAAGGTGCGGCCTGGGCCTCAGGGCCGGCCTTTGCCGAGCTGCGCTTTGAGGCGTCCTCCTCGAGGACGATGCGGAGGGTGCCGGGGTGCCGGAGGCAGCTCTGGCCACGCTGAGGGCCCAGGCGCCGCTAGCGGCCCCAGCACCCCGAAACGCCAAAGACGCGGAGCCTGGAGCCCAGAAACGGGCAGCCCGCGTGGCACATGTGGTGTGCGCTGCTTGCTGTGAGGCACTGGCCGGTCTTGGCCGAAGCATTGAAGCTGCAAAGCCTGAGCACGGCCGGGGCCTGCTTCGAAGAAGTATCAAATCTCTCAATGCAAGCCAGAGAGTGCAAAGAGCACGAAGGTCTGTTTGCTCATGATTGTGCAATGCAGGTGTGCTCCATCACCTCAATCCACGGCGGCGAGGAAAGACCGGCTCCTGCCGGGATCTCAGAGGAAAGAGGGACCGTGTCATGGACATTCATGCACCACCAGTGACCAGGTGATTGCAAAAGCTGTTGCTTCGCTGCTGCCGCTCGCACAACGTTTCCTCATCCACAAGCACCGAGCCGTCTATGATGCTGTCAATGCTTCCCGGATTCATGAGAGCAGAATGTACTCTGCATCTTCTGCCGAAGCTGCGCTGCTTTCCGCCCAGGCAACATGTTTGGCCGCAAAAGTGGAGAAACTCATCGTCCGTGTGACTTGATTGCTGAAATTGGTGTTTGCACGCAGAGACTGTCGCTTGCACACGCAGAGGATGCAGAGTGTGTCAGGAAGTAGATCCACCGTTGAAGCTTCGCTGCGTCTTCTCGGTGGTGCCTGGCCAAGATCCAATCCAGGTGGAGTCGCCTAAGCCCAAAGCAAGTCTCCTCCGAGCTTTGCAGTCTCTTGCAACTTGCGCACCATTGAGATCGAATGTCAGGCGGAGGTCGAGAGTGACTGCTACTTGGAGGTCAGGAGCGCCTTTGCTTGCAGCCAGCCGACATGAAGACTGCCCACTGTCCTGTCCATGCTCGCTGGTCCCTCCCGTTGAGGTGGGCATGTGGAGCCCGCTACATCCTATGAGTCTTGGCTGCGAGAGGTCCGATCAGAAAGACTGAAAGCGCAAGCTTTACGACCGTTCGACTCGACAGACTGCTGGCAAGGAAGTGCGACTGCGAATGCTGCCCGGAGCCACACTCCCCGCGCTTTGTGTGGAGTTGGCACGGCTGCTGCTTCCTCCGGCGAAGCCAGCAAAGCAGGAGACCGTACGTAGATCGCTGGAGTTGTAACGAATCGTAAAATCTGAGAGAACCTTTGGACTTGAGAGAAGTCAAGCTTCGTTGCGGGTCCAAATGCTAGGGCGTTGGACGTGCAAGCTCGACATTTGCCTAGTGGCTGCAAGGAGCAGTAAGATGTGAAAGCAATAGGCCGAGCATTCTCGCAGCACAACGAAATCGAGTTCACAGGTATTACACTCTCAATCTAGTGCGTCTATATCCAATGTCAGCATCAACGTTTGGTCGTATTAGTCTTGCGGCGTGCATTGGGCATCGAAGGGCGCGGCTGGTTGATCTAGAAACCCCGCCCCTCGATTTTGACAGAACTACGTGTGGACCCGGCCTCACTATCAGGGATGGAGGGGCAGCCTTGCTACCTTGCTAAAGAAGATATCCAGTGTGGACGGAAGGACGAGGCGACGGTGCGACAGACACGCGAGGTGGCAGCCTGTGAGAGTTGTTGTTTACGTTGTCGCGTTGCACGTCGACCAGGCCTTGGCCACCTTTCTGGCTTCAGCAGCCTTGGCAGGAGCATCGGGTGCCTCATCGCTTTGCGAGGCCAGGAGAGCACGGAAAATGGCCTCTCGTAGAAATGCTGCTCACATAGTGATCAGAAGCAGGTAGTGCTTGCCGCGAGGCCCTGCAGATCCCAGCGTTGCCCAGTGAGGCCAGCAGACAGCCTATTCGGATGGTCTCAGCAGCCAAGGATGCTTTTACGAATTCTGGCAGGACTCAGCTGACTATACGCCACCCTGGCCCATGCCGAAGGAGGCGAGCTTTTGTGGTTCCCACAGGCTTCACGAGAGATGGGAGCCAGCCCAAGCCGAAGCCGAGGTCGCCGAGCAGCTGGAGTTGGAGCGCCGGCTGCTCGAGGCGGCGCAGGCTGGGCTTGGCTGGGCTTGGGCGTCTCCTTCCCCGCGCCGTATACGGGTTCAATCACGTTCAATCGTTGCAGGAGACTGAACCTGAGAGGCTTCTGCCTAAGGACGAGGCAGTTCCCCTATGAAGGCTAGGAACTCATCCTTCCGTGTCTGAGAGACCAGCAGGAGCCACCTGCAGAGCCTCCGAGCAAGAGAGCGCGGACAGAGGGGCCTGAGGCTACCTTTGTAAGTGCAGGGCCCGCTTTACATGTGAATTGGGCTTGGCCTGGGGGCTTTTGCTTGCTCAGCCTCAGGCCGTGGTTGCGGAGGCTGCGATGTTGGAAGGCGTCGCAAAGGCCGCGTCTTGGCTCAGGGAATTCCCATTTCTTGCTCTGTGTTGCGCCTGCGGCATTAGAGTGAGAGAATTTCCATCCGCCCCTGGCAGGACCGCTTGGCAGAGATGGATCTCGGAAAGGAGGAGCCGAAGGAGGTCACAGAGGGAACTGATAGTCACGTTGCATGGAGGAGCACGAGACGGGCTCTGCGGCCAGAGACGAGGCTACATGCCGGAAGTCAGGAATCTCAAGTCTTGACACCTTCGATTACCAAGCCTCGCCAAGAATCTCCATGATGCCTGAAAATATTTCCGCATCTGGAAGCTTTGCAAAGCCGTTGTTGGCTACTACCAGGCGGACGGTGGTGCTGACCCGGCTTCAGGCACTGCCTTGGAAGAGGCGCATTTGTCTTGGTCGCTGCTTGATATCGATCTTCGCTAGCTTCACATCAGCAGCACATGCGTCCTCATAGCGGTCAGAATTCTCATGCAGAGGTGAGTGAGACCGAAATGAAAGATGCAGAGGCGTTGTTAAAGGCTGACAAGCAGGGTTCAACCTGCAGCTGTGCAGTGCTACATCCATCGCTTCATCAGAACATCAGCGTGATCGACCAGCAAATTGGGGAGAACAGTGAAGGCGTGAGCTTCGCAACACTCGATCGAGCACTGTGGCATGCCAACTCAAAAAGAGGTACCCCCAAAAGTCAGCATCTCTCGGTGTCTCGCCAGGAAAGGGCCCTGGCAAAGGAAAGGGCAAGAGCAGCGGCAAGGGAGGTGACAAACCAGGCAAGGGCGACAAGGACCTCCAAGTGCGTTGGTAGATTTTGGTCCAAGTTCTGCGATGCTTCTGGCTTCCTGGCACCAGGAGCGCAGTGCAACGGAGTTGGGACGCATCTTGGACCGGCTTCCAGGCCGGCACTTGTATGTCCACGCAGTGTTCTCTGAAAGTACCTGCTGAGATTTGAGAAAACCGTCTAAGAATAATCCTGTGGCTGTGTGGAGGTGTCTCGAATGCTCCGGAAGAAGAGTCTTCGGAGGTGGGCCCGCTAGATGTCAGGGATGCGCATATGTCTTATTCTTCGTGCGGACTCCACAAATGAATCACGAAACACAGCATTGTGAGGCAAAGAAGGAGAAAGCGTTTAGAACTCGCGTGTACGATTTGGAGGATCTTCGTGTCGGGCACTGAGTGCGCTGACCCCTTGAGTGGTTTCGACTTTCCTAGTCCTAGTCGATGCGAGGCCCAGTCAAAGAAGATGCGTCTTGGGCCGTTGCCGAGCCGGAACGACTTGCCACAGGAGGACTTTCGTCATCGGTAACGTGTATACTTGCAGATGCTTGTCCGATGACCCCGAGCGGGGCTGATCAAGCCGAATGTTTCGAGGAGCGTGAGAAGGTTGGGCGTTGGGGCGAGCAGAGACTTAGCTTCACGTGGTTCTTCCGACGGTTAAGGTTGGCGGGTCCAGAAACAGATAAGGTTCGTCTACGAGTACTTGCAGAAGAAACTCGAGCATGAGGACTGTGCTGCAGCTTTGAAGCGAGTCTCGCGACAGTTACGCAGAGTTGCAGACCTTTTGTGCTGTGGCCTGGCCCTTGTGACTCCGCGGCTCTGGCCCTGCCCCAATGCTGCCTTCGGGCTTCGGGTGCCAGGACAGCCAAAAGCGCCGATCTCACTTGTGGCGAGTCTTTTTTGTATGAGGCTCGATTTGATGCCAGCTTCCGGTAACTTTGGCTCAAAGGCGTGTGATCTGGGTCAACGAGGTGGAGGACAGTTTGAGTTCGGTCGCTTGAATTGTCGGAAGCCTGTTGTGGCGACTGTGGTGAAAACCTCGTTGTGGCTGTGGCAGCCTTTTCGAGCTGTGAATCGTAGGAGACCGGCTTTCAGTACGACCTGCGAATTGAGGCGGGCTGCTCGGAGCACCCACCCCTGCAGCCTCTGTAGCGTTGGTACCTCTATACCCGTGCCACTGAGCTGTGAACTGTAGATCACTTGTGAGACATGCAGGACAGCAGCAGCGGAGATGTAGAGGCCTATGTAGAGGTTAAGACATCGCGCGCCAAGGACTGCTTTTGACAGTGCTCAGTTGAGAGTCGCAGTTCGCAGCCTTGATAAGCAGCGGGAGTTTCCGATGCTGGCGCATGCTCAGCAGCTTGTCGTGCTTCTATGGAAATCGGAATGCAATCTCACCGAAGGATGAAGCACAGGATGCTGTGATGTGAAGGGATTGGCCAGTTGCCATGTTGCAAGGACAAGCAGCTTTTCGAGCAGCTTGGAAGCGCAAAGACGTGCTGCACCTGCAGTCTTGTTTGCAGTGCGCATGCTTGGGTGGCGTTAGGATGAGCTACAGAGAGTGGACGTTTGCGCAGAAGGAGGGAGTTTTTCGATCCTGCAAGCATCGTGTGCATTGGTCCCCTTTGGTCGCAATGAGGAGGGAAGCAAGTTTGTCATCTTTCGGGTTTCCAACGCTGGCAAGGCCTTCTCACTCTTTTTCGTGCCGGTGTCATGCTGCGTTATTTGTTTCTGCTTTACAGGAAGATGTCGAACTCTGCTCAATTACGAATCCCTTCCGACAGTGGAAGGCACTCTTACTTGATCCTTTTCATGCCCCACTTTCGATCTGCTGCCCTGGCAGGAGCTGAACTTGGGTCTCTGCTTGACTTTCTGAGATCCCTTGAGGCGGAAGCGATTACCAGCTGCCATGCACCGACACTGTGACGCATTTCCCGCAACAGGCGTGTCAACGTATGCTCAGCGAAGCCACGCCGACAAGGAGCACAGGCCCTTCGCAGCGATTGCGGCCTCGAAGTTTGCAGCGACAGTGTCAAACAAATCATTTAGCAGGTGCAGATCGAGCCGGCGCTTCAAGACACTAAGGCCACGTTGATTGAAATGGTTAAGTTGTTTGATGTGCTCGGTGACATGAGGGGAGAAAGGAAAGGGGTTCTGCAAGGTAGAGCTTCCAAGAACACCATGCAAGACCGCAAGTCTTGAACAGGTGTCGGGCATCCGCTGGCCTTACGAGAAGGCCGCAGCGCTGGCTCAGGTGTTTGCGACCCATAGTCAGAAAGACCCAGCTCCACCGCCAGGTTCGAGACGGTGTATCGTGGCACAAAGCTTGCACCTGGCAGTGCAACAAGTGTGTCCGCGAGAGCCTGTCATGAAAAATGAAGCTTCAGCTTGGCAGGCATCCGCTTCAAACCAATTGCATCGCAGTGTTTTCTCCGAAACAGCATGGTAATGCTGTGATATTCTGGCAACGTTCGAGGTCAATTTTCTTCTTGGGATCGATTTATTCTGGTTGTACTTTTACAATAATCTCCTAGAAGCTAAATTTATCTTTTGCACTTTGGGATATCGTTTGATATACCGACAAAATATATTAATATAGATATATGATTATTTAAATTGATTCGATAATTCATATTGCTGTAGAATATTGATAATAATTGAATTATTTTTGAAATTAGGCAAAACATGAATTTCTAGTATTATAATGAGTAATATATAATATCGAACTTTGTATTACCGATCCTAAATATTATATCTGTCGAATTTAGATATACTTCGTCGATTTATTGAATATCTAAATGATATCGTAATTTGATTGGCAAATATATAGATGATTAAATCTACTATATAATTACTAGGTCTTATTTATTCTACTTAAATAAAAGGGAATTATTATGATTTTTGGTTTCAATTTAATAATTGAATTCTTAGTTTATATTCTGTAAATATTATTTCTTTATCTATATTCAAATTATAAATAATATATGAAATATATTTTGTTATTTTAATTTGATTCTATATTTTTTCTT